GGCCTGAGATAGAGAGAAATTCACACATGGAATGCAGGATGAAATACTCGAAGAAGGAATTGATTGAAATGTTCATTGTTGAGAAGTTTCAATTGAAGCAAAAGTATTCGTTTTGTTCCACAATAATTATGTCTTTTGTACGCAACTTTGTAATAATTACACTGAGTAACAATTAACCATTTGGAAGAAAATAATATTAAAATATTCTTCGCCCAATACGAACAAAAAAATGACTTTCCGAAATCAATAAAAAATATTATAGACTTTTGAAAGCATATTAAAAACTAGTTGGTTTGGTATTTTGCTTTGAGGCAAGTTACATGAACTTCCCGAAATGTGTAAATAATCGACTTAATCAATAAAAAATAAATTAATTTATGAGTGATTATAAGTATTCCAAGTGGATTTATTACACATCATTGCAAACGAAAGAACGAACACATTAACTCGGAGTATTTTCTAAAAGCAAATTTAAAAAAATAAATAATTTTAATTAATCAATAATTATAATTGAACCAGTTTCCGTGGTATTTTAATGGTTTACTATGTTCAAGACCAAGTACTCTATCGTTATACCAACTAAATCATCTAATTTTAATTTTAACAAACGTCAAAAAAACTACTGATTTTCTCAAACTTTGATGAATTTTTAAAATTAAACTACTTGTCGTGAGGCCGTTATAATTCAGTAAGTTCTATAAGACTATGATATATATCACCAAAAAAGGTTCCATAAAAATCGGCCTATTTTTTTTTTTCAACAGTTAATTACAAAAAAACGGCTCGGTAGATTTTCACCGAGCCGTTTTTCACGGCTTGGCAGATTGTCGCACAAAAAGACAAACAATAGTCCTCACCGAAATACATCAATGGCTTTTAAATTTCTAAAATCGGTTCAGGCGTTTTTTGAGAAAACGTCGATCAAAGGTCTAATTTTGACAAATGCCAAAAAACGATACCAATTTGCAAACTTTGACGAATTTTAAAGCTGAACCAGGGTCGTAGGGCGTAATATTTTAGTATGACCTAGGAAAACTATGGTATCTACCGTCAAAAAAATAATCATAAAAATCGATTTTTTTTTTTTTAAACTTTATTACAAGAAAACGCCCAGGCGATCTTTACCAAAAACTAATCAGCACGATTCCCAACCAATATCGTTCGAACGGTTTTTGAATTTTCAAAATCGATTCAGAATTGCGGGCTAAAAACGTAGACGAAATATTTTTCACTTTTCTGCGACTTATAAAGAAACGGCTTGGCCGAACGTCGCACAAAATTGACAAACAATAGTCCTCATTCAGATACATCGAGTGGCTTTTAAATTTTTGAAATTGGTCCGCCGTTTCAAGAAAACGTCGATTTACGGCAAAAATCTGTTCACATACACACACACACACATACTTTTTCCAAATTTGGTCTCATTCGATTCAGAATGGCTTGAAACGTCGAGAAACAAAAATAGCAATTCGGATTTTTTGATGATTGAAAACATAAAACTTCTCCTTCGCGGAAGTTAAAAATAACTTAAGTAAAGTTTAATGAACCATAATAAAGAGCACTTCATTATTCGCTCAATAATGTATTACTCAAAATAAATCTTGCAGTTAATTGAATAATTGGAAATTATTTTTATTTTTTCTTGCACAGATTTATTGCCGATCAAAATAATTTTTAAGGCAATATCCTGGGTGTAAATGCATTTAAAGAGATTATCTCCTATGATATATCTCTTTTTAGAAATAAATATAATAAATTCCTAATCCTAAAATAGTCCCGAATAGGGAATGCAATACCGGTATACCGGTATACCGAATTACCGGTGAACCGCCCGATTTTTCGGCGGTATTTTTACCGGTATTTATTCCAAAAATACCGGTATTTTCGGTAATTTTACATAAACGCTATTTGATATACAAAATACCCTAATGTTTAAATTTCTCGGAACAAATTTATCTTTAAATTCTATAATCGCATAAACAGCTATATCTTCACGTGCTTCTATAAGATAAACAAATGTCAAATATTATCTCATCTCGTCATTAAACTGAATATTTATTGCTTTCCAAAGGGCTTCATATCGTATTACAATAAATAGAATAGTACTGATAGATAATTCTGTTTGTTTCATCTTTTGTAAAAATGTAACGGTTTTTAAATATTTGCGCCAAAATATTTTATATCATATTGCGTAATCTTTATTTTTTTCTAACTTTATACATAATAATTATGATAATTACTAAATATTTTTGTTTCTTATTACAATTATAAAATATTATTTTTCGACGTTTTGAAGTTTGAAAATACTATAGAAGCATCGCATTGTTTTAAATAACAATACTCAACAATTATAGTAACTAATTATTTATCTCGACAAAGTATCCGATCTTAAATTAGTGTAGAAAAATTATTTTTTTTAAAATATTGGAGATTATGCTAATTCTCATTGGATACAGACAATGCAGTTTATTATAATAATGCAATATGATCTTTTATGAGTTTTTGGCCTTTCTTACTCATAAGTTTGTTTTTGGTGAAAAGTACTCAATATACTTGATAGTGATAATGAATTAATTAAATTGCATATGCTTTTGTTAAATTATTATTTAAAAAAATAAATTTATTGTTTTATTTTATTGTTTAGTTGAATATAGTTGTAGTTGTATATACGTTTTTCTTATATTTGTACTAGTAACTTTCAATTTTATTTACGTTTGTTGAAGATAATAAAAATACCGGTAATTTACCGGTATTCCGGTTTTAAAATGAAAAATTACCGAAATACCGGTATTGAAATTTTCCATCGGTATTGCATTCCCTAGTCCCGAATTTTCGTAATAAGAAATATTTATGATAATTAAAAAAGGATAAAATAAAGACACAAAATTTCATAATCAGAATATTTGATAATAATAAATCAATAAATAGTAATTTTTCATTAAAAATGCTTCATATAAGACTATGTAGTAATAATATGTGTGTAACTTTAACTATGCAAATTAGATCAATTTGTAAGTATGTAATTAATATAAGAGTTATCAAATTTTTTATTTAAATAATGAATTATAAGAATATTAAAAAAAAATATTTTAAGGATAAAATTTTAGAAAGTTATTGTCTATTAATTTAATGTAATAATATACTTAATATTTTTTTATCATTGATTTTGTTTATATTTTATTATAGTTTTTGAAGAAAATTTTTTTTAAATAAATTTGTTAAAATAATTATGTTGTAATAATTTATTTTTCAATTTGAGGTAAAATTATGACTTAAATATTTTATATTCCCAATATATTTATATTAGTTTTACAATTGAATAGTAGAATTATATTTATATTAGCTAATTTAGTAGAATTTATACAGAAATAATTTAAATTTGTTATATTTAGGAAAATCTAGACTTTTTTAATTATTTCAATGAATATTGATAAAAATCACTGAGAAATGTTCAATATATGAAATTCTGGTTAGGGAGCCTCAATTAATCACGTGATCGATTTTTTTAGGATTTTAACCTCCCCCCCCCCAAAAAAAATTGATTTGTTTGAAAATTCAGGTAAAATATAAATGCACGTGATATCTTACGAGCCCCACGTGATATTTAAATTTATTAAATAATTTTTGTAGTAATGCACTGTTTCTAAAGAAGCATCAAGCCTTTCAAATTTGCAATAATTATCTTCAAATTTCAAAATATATAAAATAATCTATTATCTTACCGTTTGAGTGACGAAGGTGGTTCTAAGCTATTTGCACTATCACTCGTTTCATCTCCCGTTACGATTGGTGTGGGTGGCTTGTCCAGGGAGTCTTCAGTGTATGAGGTAGTTGAATCATCCATAACATCTGCTGACACTTTACCTAAAAACAAAAAAAAAAAAAACAATCAATATAAAATTACCTGTTAATATTAATAAATGCAGCAATTGAGTGATTTACCATTGTGCTTACCGTTCACAGGTTCCTGATTACTTTCATCGGACGGCTCAATTTCATTTCCATTAATACCATTGTGTGATAAGGGTTTGTCTTTGGACATAGGCGGGAAGCCGGGGACATCATCTAGTAACTCGGGTCTTAAATCTGATACTATGTAGTGCGTCCATAAGGCTAACTCAACCCTAAAGGGATAATTGATACACCATTAGTATATGTAAACATATAAATTATATATTATTATTAACTTCCCGTAGGGCAAGTTATAGTAATCGCAAAAAAATCGAAAATGAACATTTTTATATATCTTTACGTTTCAGAGGTTTCTGAACATTTTGGCATACCTTAGAAAAAATGGATGTATGTGTGTGTGTGTGTGTGTGTGTGTGTATGTATTATGTGCGGATACAAATTTTCGTCGACGATTTCGGAAACACGGATCAACCGATTTGAATAATTCAAAAAACATTCGATTCGTATTGATAAGGAGACGTGCTGATTAGTTTTTGGCGAAGGCAGGTCCAGCCGTTCCAAAGATACGGGGCAAAAAGTGCCGAAAACGGTAACTCAGTTTTTAAGAGAACGGAGCGTCCGATTTGAATAATTCAAAAAACATTTCACTTGTATTAACAAGATGAAGAATCGATAAAATTTTAATGAGGGCAGGTCTAGCGGTTTCGGAGATCTAACGAAAAAAGTAAAAAAAAGTGCCATTTCGCGGTCAAAAATGATCATTAGACATATGCACATCAAATTATCAGATATTTTATAGAGATTTTAACAATAGATATAAATTTTGTTTACATTCCTATGGGTTCCGTACCAATATTTATCCGTTAGACAGCGACGCGGCGCTTACGCGCTTTATATTTTGTCTCTATGCAGTTAAAGCAGTACGATTGCTTTGAAAAAAAGTTCAGATCTTCCAAGATATATCAAAATAAAGAAAACATTTTTTTTTTCAATAAAAAAAAAATTAAAAAAAATTTTTTTTAGAATTTTTTTTTTTTTAACAATTTTTTTTTCAAGAAAAAGTAATTCTTTGTCCAATTTATAGTTTCTCAAAAATCTTATTTTTGCGAAGTAAAATTTTTTCAAAAATGTTAATCGTTTTTAAAAAAATAATAATTTTTGGTACGGGAAGTTCCAGCAATTTGCCTTAAGGCACAATGCCCTAATTGCCTTAAGACAGAATTCCACTTACAGCTAGTTTATTTATTATGTTTACCTGTGTGGTGACCAGTATTTTTCCTTCTTTTCTTCCCCATTTTCAGCACCCTCCTCTTTCTTTTCATCTCCGTTCAGTCTGTTAACAGTAGCCTGGATGTGCGATACAAAGTTTAAATATTCCTTAGTTGTGTAATCGATTCCTTCAATTTCTGGAATTGCCATCAGACATTCATCGGCCATGAAAGGGGCAGTTTCTGGAGCAGCAGCACATAAAAGAGCAGATGCCATCGTAGTACCTGGAAAAAATTTGATATTAAATGTATTTAAGAAATTATATTTAATTTATTATGTGTTTGTTATATTTCTTACCAACTCCTTTCAAATTTGATAGTGCTGTTATAGCTTGTTCTAAGTTTGGGAGTTTACGGAAAGCCTTTTTGGTTTCTGCCATCACAGCTCTGGGTGTGTTAACTTTTACTAAATAAGACAGCTGTGGGTAAAACTTTCCACGCTGAAAACAAAAACATTAAAAATATATTAATTTAGATAAAAAATGAGTCCTTTTTGTTTGCTTAAAAATTAATAAATGTTAAGATTCTTACCGTCTGTTTCCATTTCATCATCTGCACAAGTTCTTCGTGAATAAGATGTGCATCCTTACCACGAGATTTAATTTTTTTTGGCAACTCATTTTGGTACCTTGAAAAAATAGAATGAATAATTTAATTACATGTATTTAATATACATAATTAAGGAAAAATTTAATCTAAGTAATGAAAATATAATAAAAAAATGTATGTGTAATGAATTTAGAAAGAAAATGAAAATAAAATAAATGTGTTTTTTTTAAAAACAATTGAAAATATACATGCATAAAATACACACTCATACATAAAAAGATCAGTACTGGTGGATAAATGTGAGTTTTTAAAAAAATAAGCAGAAATTAATTAAAAAAAATACAAATTAAATGTCTGAAAATCAAATTAATTTAATAAAATAAATTTGATTTCATTTATTTGTATCCTTGTGAAAGATACACATTAAGATGTTTTTGAACTTTGATCCAATAATTTACAAAAATTAATAAAGTAAAATGTCTATTAACGTTTCGAGTCTTTATTCAGCTCATCTTTAATTTTAAATTAAAAGAATTACAAAATTATAAGATAAAAATATATAAAAAATTACAAAATACAAATAGTAATTCTAAAACGATATATTATGGAATAATATATAAACAATATATTATGGAATATTATTTATAATTTTTTTTATATCCTGTAATTTTTTAATGTAGCTCTGAAAATGAGTCAAATCAAGACACGAAACCGAAAAACCCAAAGTTTATTAAGAGATTTTTATTTATTATCGACGTTTCGGAACTAAGTACGTTCCATCTTCAGGACATCAGTCACAAAACATGTATTTTGCAGCCAAATTATTCAAAATAAAAGGCAATAAATAATTAACTATTTAGTACGTACGTTTCGACACTGTATGTGTGTCATCATTCAGCAAGTTAGACAAATTCAAACCAGGAAAAATAAAAAAAACAAACTTTCAGGGCATTGTTTAATGAAAAAAACAAACCATTGATTAAAATTTAATAATTAAAAGTTAAATATTAAAATTATGTAGTAGAAAAATAATCATTATCATTGGACTAAATGCTGATTATTTTGCAATTTGTTGATCATGTGACCAAATTAAATAATAAGTTGTATTTTTCTCTTGGTTTGGTATGTATTCATATTTATTATAATTGTTACATCTTCCAGTAATTCTGTAAAAAATTTAAATTTTTGTAAAAGAACCTTTTGGAAATTTTTCAATGTGCTGAATGATGACACACATACAGTGCCAAAACGTACATAATAAACAGTTGATTAAATTTTGTATTAAATAAACAAATATATTTTGTATATAACGAATGTATTCTGTGTGGATAGATATCAATTTAAAAATATGAACAAACAGCACTTTTTTGGACTAATTTATTAAATAATATTAATTTTAAAAACGTTTTGAGACTAGGTTTGCTTCATTATCAGTGTATTATAATTTTATAAGTTTAATACATTAATAATGAGACAAACCTAGACTCAAAACGTTTGAAAAATTAATATTTAATAAATTAGTGCAAAAAAGTGATGTTTGCTCATATTTTTAAATTGATAAGATTTAATCTTCAGGGCAATACATCAATTAAAAAATTGTAATTTATTATTCCATACTTTTCGACATATTTTATGTCATCTTCAGTGAAATGTACATTGGAACACTCTTAATTATTTCATGATAATAATAGTTCACAATAGCACTACTAAAATATTTCTTGTCAATTTAAATTGAACAATTATATATATTATTAAAAGAAATTTCTAGTAGTAATAGTATATATAATTGTTCAAATTAAACTGGCAACAAATAGTTTAGTAGTGCTAATGTGAACTATTATTATTATGAAGTAATTAAGAGTATTCCAATTTACATTTCACTGAAGATGACAAAATAATATGTCGAAACGTATGAAAAAACAAAAATTTTATGAATTTTTACAACTTTAAAGAATTAATTGATGTACTGCCCTGAAGACTGATATTTTAACATCAAAATTATTATATATATGATAGTTTTGTCGACGTTGATACATATTTGAAGTATTTTGCAGCCCCGATCGCCGAATTAAAAAAATATTAATATAAAAAAAAATTAAACGTTTCGACACTTAATGCGTGTCAACAGTAATCTAAAAAAACATATTACATAAATAATATGAATGATGACACATTAAGTGTCGAAACGTTTAATGCAAAAAAAATTATATTTTAATATTTTTTAATTCGACGATTGGACTGCAAAATATTATGAATATATATATATATATATATATATATATATATATATATATATAATAGCTGACTCAGCAAACGTTGTTCTGCTAAGTAACAATTTATTTAGTATACAATTTTTAGTATATACATATACATATATATATATTTTTTATTTCGACGAATGGGCTGCTAGTTACTTTGAAATATGTTTCAACGTCGAAAAAACTATCAAGATATATATATATATATATATACGATTTTATAAGTTTAATATATATATATATATATATATATGTATATATATATATGTGTGTTAAATTTTTATACTTTTGATGTTGAGATATGTGAGATTCAATCTTCAGGGCAATACATCAGTTAAAAACTTGTATGACTTTTAAAACATTTTTATTGTTTCCATACGTTTCGACACATTATTTTGTGTCATCCTCAGTGGACTCTAGTTTGAAAGCACAGATAGAAATTATTGATCAAAACTAATTTATAAGAAAGTGATATGGTATAAAAACTTACATGTAACATTGTTGTTACCCACATGTTACATGCATTTGTAAACAATTATCATTATGAAATAATTATGATTACTACAATTACATGTGAGTTTTTACACCACACCACTTTCTTATAAATTAGTTTTAATTAATAGTTTTAATCTGTGTTTTTAAACTAGAGTCCACTGAGGATGACACAAAACAATGTGTCGAAACGTATGGAAACAACAAAAATGTTTTAAAAGTCATACAAGTTTTTAATTGATGTATTGCCCTGAAGATTGAATCTCATATTATATATATATATATATATATATATATATATATATATATATATATATTAGGTTGTCAAATATCTCCCTTCCGCCTTGTTGTATTATAAACCAAGAGCAAAAAAGCGGAAGGGAGATATTTGACAACCTTATATATATATACATATATATATATATATATATATATATATATATATACATATATATACATATATATACATATATATACATATACATATATAATTTTATAACAATATTAACATATAAGATAATGTGTATATGAAATATATATGATGAGAAAACAGTTTTGTAAGCCAATCCAATGTACCATATGTTCAACAACCGTGCGATTTTTCAACCAAAATTGCCTTCAAATTAACCAGCCGTCGATTCCCTTCAATTTTTTTCCCAAATTCGACCCAATTCCTTTGGAAAAATGTGATAAATCGTGGAAAAAGTAGGTCACCGTCCGTCCGTCCGGAATTAACAATTAACCGCCAGGGACTGTACTCGCTCCACAGGTTAGAATATGTGAATCATCCGAAACCACACATAGGAAAATTACATTACACCAATTGTGAATTACAGAAATATAGGTTTTGCGATGATTTTAGTGTTAGTGAAATCACATCAAGACAAATCGAGACCGAGAAAGAAAATATTGGGGATAAATTAATAAGAACGCTTAGAAAAGCGTTCAGTCAGAAAACGCACGCCGCAGGATAAAGATAAACACGACCGGTGGTAATAGATTCATTCTTTCACAATCTTTGTATCAAAATGGATTTTATTTAAGGTTCTTTATACGTGGTGAAGATAACTCCATCTTGAAAACCTGCATACGTAGTATGTTCGTACAAAAATTCATCAAAACGTTCAAATTTAGTGTTAAAAGGACCTGAACGCATTACCGAAGTGTTCACGGGGTACGTACACACAAAAAACGCGCCGAGTGCACCCTCAAAACCGTCGCTACACGTAAAATAAACTTTTCACCCAGGCAGCCATTTTATGTTAAAAAAAGTATCACTATCAAAACAGCATGTGTGTATTAACCCGGCACTGGTCATTAAACAAAGGCACAAAGATCCAAAAGGATTTAAACAAAAAGCACACAACCCTCCACCTCGCCGATTGTACCTATCCTCTACCCACACTACTTTTCTTTATACTTTTTTACTATCATCTCACCAATTATCCAACTTGATCAGTTCCTCCGGCTTTTTCGATCGCTTCTCCGCTTTCAGTTTCAAAGCTTCAGGATACAATTTCAGTACGTGTTCGAATTGCTTACAGTTTCCTTTTAAGAAAAATGTTGCCGTGTCCCGTGCGGAAGCCATTGCGATAACTTAACTACTGACGACGAATGCGGACTCGACGGTAGTTCGCGCGATCGCCGAACCGACGGAGCGGCGGCACCACTCTCGCCACTCGGTGAGGACGAGGGCGACGGCGGTGCGCATGCGCGGACAAGGGGGACGAGAGAGAGTGCGATAGAGCGTGGCCTTGCGGGTGCGTTGGGAACGACGGCACCGGGAATTAGACAATGACGTACTGGTGGTAATGCATCGATGGTAATGTATCCTAGACAATATAATAATATATATATAATGCGTTTTATTGCATTCGAATTGCATTTGTCATTTGGGGTCGTTTTATGAATGAATTTTGGGCGGATTCAATATCAATGCGATCATCGATATCTAAAGAAAAAACATAACTAGGGTGCATGGCATCATGCCTCATAGAATGTCTAGAATGTCCTGTACAGTATTTTAAATTTTTGGAAAAAATCTACATTTTTTTAAATTTTTTTTTTTTAATTTCGAAATTTTTGAAAAACATTTTTCATTTTTTGGAAATTTTGAAATTGCTTGTAACCCATTCAAGTCGGTTGATTTGATACATACTGTCGAAAATGTCAAGGACATTTGTTTAAACTATATAAGTAAACTTCAAACCTAACCTAAAAAATATAAAACCTTTATAAAATATGTAATAATTTCATGTGCATATGTCAAATGATGATTTTGGACTCAAATGACATTTTTGAACTGCCTGTAGGGTAAGTTATAATAATCGAAAATAATTTTTTTTTATATTTTTACGTTTCAAAACCTTCTGAATATTTTGGCATTTTGTGTGTGTGCGGATACAAATTTTCGACGATTTCGGGAACACGGATCAACCTACTATATTCAAACTTAACCTAACTGAACTTCAAACCTAACCTAAAAAATATAAAATGTTTATAAAATATTTAATAATTTAATGTGCACATGTTAAAGGGTGATTTTGGATCCAAATGGCATTTTTTAACTTCCTATAAGATAAGTTATAGCAATCGAAAATGAAAATTTTCATTTATCTTTACGTTTCAAAACTTTCTGAACATTTTGGCATTTTGTATGTGTGCCGATACAAATTGTTGACGATTTTGGGAACACGAATAAACCGATTTGAATTATTCAAAAAACATTCGATTTGTATTAATAGAGAAAAAAAATCTTTTTGTTTATCTTTACGTTTCAAAACCTTCTGAACATTTTTGCATTTTGTGTGTGTGTGTGCAGATACAAATTGTCGACGATTTTGGGAACACGGATCAACAAATTTGAATAATTCAAAAAACATTCGATTTGTTATAATAGTGAGAGGGAGAAAGAAATTTTTTATTTATCTTCACGTTTCAAAATTTTCTGAACATTTTGGCATTTTGTGTGTATGGGGATACAAGTAATCGACGATTTTGGGCACACGGATCAACCGATTTGAATAATTCAAAAATCATTCAATTCGTTTTAATAGGAAGAGGCACTGATTAGTTTTAGGCAAAGGTCTAACCGTTTAGAAGATATAGGGCAAAAAGTGACAAAAATGGCACTTCCATTTTTAAGAGAATAGAGCGGCCGATTTGAATGATTTAAAAAACATTCAATTCGCATTAAGAAGGAGAGACGTTGATTAGTTTTTGGCAAAAGCAGGTCTAACCGTTTCGAAGATACAGGGCAAAAAGTGACAAAAATGGTACATGGGTTTGAGAGAACGGAGCAGCCGATTTGAATGATTCAAAAAACATTTTACTTGTATTTACAGACTGAAAAATTGATAAAATTTTTGTAATGGCAAGTCCAGTGGTTTTGGAGATCTAGAAAAAAAGTTGAAAGAAATGTTGTATGAATATTTTAATTATAAAATTAATTTTTATGGGTTCCGTACCCAAGTTTATATGTTAGACTGCCACATTTTGTTTCGTTTCTAAAACTGATATTTTAGATATTCTATTTGCAATTTTAGCATTATGATCAATTATGAGTGCATTGAAAACAAGTTGAAAAATGTTAGAATATAAAAAAAATATTTGAAAAAAGTCAAATTTTAAGATTCTCAAAAGCTTGTTTAGGAATTTTAATTTTCAGTACAGGAAGTACTTGAAATTTATCTTAAGGCGCGATGCCATGCATCACTAGTTTATTGTTAGACTTATAGGTTAATTGAAAAAATATATCATCATAAATTTAATGTTCCCAATACTTATTACGAGAAACTACTCAAGTGCAATGATCACCAAAAAAAGCTGTTTTAAAAGTTTTCTTCAAATTCATACGTTTCGACTACAGTCCTAGCCTTCAAATATGTAACAGAATATAGTCTATATATATCTGTTCCCTACGCACTCTCAAAGTCACGCCAGTCGTCGTTGTTTTCCGTGGCTGTACCTCTAAACCTCTAGTTCTATGAAATCGCTTTGTACGCTGTACGAATGCGAACGGACTCGGGCGCCTTCGACGCAACTGTCCCTCGTCGCTCGACGCTCGTCGTTCGACGCTCGGCGAGCCGTATGCGCGCTGAATAACACCGTGTGCGCCGTTCGGCGTACACTCGGCGACACAATTCAACGACCGATTTGGCTCCCGACTAGTGTTGGAACGAAATATCGAGTACAGAGTAAATATCGATACTTTTGCTATCGATTTTTTAGCTCGATCTATTTTCCAATATCGATTCTTTTCGTCGATAGTACTCAAAAAGAATCGACAGCGTAATCTATGAACACCACTCATTGCAGTCATAATTGTTCAAAGAAGTGTCAAAAAATTTAAGAAGTGTCAAAGAATTTATTGCTTAAAAACCCAAAATGAATATGACCACACTAATAAATAAAGATGTTTATTTATTACTCTTGTGTAAAATGAGATGGTTTTTTAAAGTACCTTAAATGTTTTATAAAAACATATTCAACAATCGAAGAAATAGGTTGTCAAATATCTCCCTTCCGCCTTTTTGTATTATAAACCAAGAGCAAAAAAGCGGAAGGGAGATATTTGACAACCTAATATGATTGTTTCAAATAACAATACTCACCAATTTCAATATATTAGTATATTTCGTTTATTATATTTCGATTCTTTTTTTAAGAAAAATACTCATGTATTGAAATTTTTGAATATTATTATTTGAAATAATTATATTTCGATTCTTTTTTACGCAAAATACTAATATATAGAAATTGATGAATATTATTATTTGAAATAATTATATTTCGATTCTTTTTTACGCAAAATACTAATATATAGAAATTGATGAATATTATTATTTGAAACAATTATATTTCGATTCTTTTTTTACGAAAAATACTCATGTATAGAAATTTTTCAATATCAACATGCAAACATATGGGTTTGAGTTTCTCGGAACCATTTAAACTTTAAATCCCATCGCTCCGAAGGGATGTTTCTCTACAAATGTCGAAATATTATCTTGACCGTCATTAAACTGAATGTTTATTGCTTTCCAAAAAGCTTCATATTGCAATTTTTCAAAGTTGCATGCTCGTTAAAATAATAATAAAAATATTCAACAATTATAAAATATTATTTTACTTAAAAGTATTAACAATAATACTTAAAAATACTTAAAAAGTATCGCTTTTTGAATATAGTATCAGACTATTATCAAAATTTTGCATAATTGATAATTGGAACGTGAACTTATATATAATTAGGTAACGATTTAGGACATTTTTTTAGATTTTTTCAAATAACTTGGAAATTTTGCACATTCCAATTTATTTTCATTAGTAAAAACTAGATAAAATTTAGTAAAATTCGGTATAAATTGTTGCATACACTTTGATATCAAAATTTTGTATAAAACCAGTTGAAACTTCAACTTGTAAATAGTGCTAATTAGCATTTTACCTTTCAAGTACATTTTTTTGGATTTTTTCAAATATCTTGGAAATTTCGTTCTACACATTCCAGTTTATATACATTAGTTAAAACTAGATAAAATTTATTAAAATTTAGTATAAATTGTTCTATGTATTTCCATAATGAAATTTTGAATAAAAATAGTTTCAAAACGGAGCTGTATGTATATTGTGTTAATTAGCATTATACATTTTTAAAGTTTGATGGATTTCTATAGATTTTTTCAAATAACTTGAAAAGTTTGTTCTAGACACTTTAATATATTTATATAAGTAAAAATCATATTGCAATTTTTTAAAGTTGCATGCTCGCTAAAATTATTCATACAAAAATATTCAACAATTATAAAATATTATTTTACTTAAAAATATTAACAATAATACTTAAAAATACTTAAAAAGTATTGCTGTTTGAATATAGTATCAGACTATTATATTGTTTTAATCAAAAATACTCAACTATTATAACTTGTCTTTTTTTAAAAAAAAATAGAATATGAAATTAGTGAAATATGAAATAATAAAATATGAAATTGAAAAATTACTGTTAAAATTTTACAATATTGAAAATGATTCTGATTTAACACATCAGATACAAGCAATAGAATTCATTCTAATATTGTGATGTGATATTTAATTAGTTTTAAATCTTTCTTGCACTTATGTTTGATTTTGATGAAAGGTACTCAAAATTCGATATTGAGTACTATCGATACTTTCGCCACAATATTTTTTTGGCATCGATATTTTGATTAGATACTTTTTAAAGTACTCAATATCGATCTTTTGCCTGCAATAGAATCCATTCTAATATTGTGATGTGATATTTAATTAGTTTTAGATCTTTCTTGCACTTATGTTTGATTTTGATGAAAAGTACTCAAAATTCGATATTGAGTACTATCGATACTTTCGCCACAATATTTTTTTGGCATCGATATTTTGATTAGATACTTTTTAAAGTACTCAATATCGATCTTTTGCCTGCCATAGAATTCATTTTAATATTGTGAAATGATATTCAATGAGTTTTAGATCTTTCTTGCACTTATGTTTGATTTTGATGAAAAGTACTCAAAATTCGATATTGAGTACTATCGATACTTTCGCCACAATATTTTTTTGGCATCGATATTTTGATTAGATACTTTTTAAAGTACTCAATATCGATCTTTTGCCTGCCATAGAATTCATTTTAATATT